AAAGCTGAGATGTTTTTGCTGATTTCCATGCGCAATTTGCAAATCCCAACTTTACTGTGAATAATCATTTCAGGAGGATTATGAAGCAGCAAAAACAAACGCTCTTATTGAACCGAGGAGACCACCGGAGCCTCCCAATGACAGAAATAAAGCCAGGGAAATTTGTCAAGTGCTACCATTTGGTAGGTTGTTTGCACCTGCAGTCGGAGGCTTGTGCGGATCGGCTACTAAGAGAGCAGCAATATTTCAGAAAATGGCTGCCATTTGTGGTTCATGCTCTCTGAGCATGCAACGACTTTACAGATTTTCCATATGCATCCCGGCCAAAGCTTATCAGATGAACTTGAGCATATGGTGGGTTACGGAAGGTGATTTTGCTATATATTGTCATCTTTGCCTTCTTTTAAGCGCATCGACTCTGAACCTGTTGGATTCGCTGGTCGTCAGATATCGTGCAGGGATGATAAAGTGGCTGTCGCTGGACTCAGCGATATCCTAACTCTTCGGATGAGTAGAGAGGGCGAGATTGTTGACCGAATGGTGATCAAACTGGCCGAGCTAACAACAACGCATAGTAATCCCATAGTAAAGGTGAGATATTGGGATATCGTGTCAAAACGCTTGGGTAAACACATTTTTAAGGTTATATGGGCTCCAAATCGTCCTGCTCTTTTGGCTGTTGCCACAATGCAGTTGATCAGGATGTACGATCTGATGCTTGACGCAGACAATTTTGTCGAAGAATTAGTGCTTCCAGTTGGTGTGTAAAACTCTTTCCCATTGGCTTTCTCTTTGCTGCGTAGATTTTAATCCAATAATTCTAGGAAATGTGGAAGATATCGAACTGATTCATAGTTCCGCCAATAATGAGATGTGGTTGATGGTCTTGAGTTCCTCTGGCCATCTGTATGAGCATAAAGTAAGTTTTCTGTTTCACGCTCTTCAATCTCTCTATAATCTCTCTATTTTGACTTTTCAGCTGATCGCTAAAACTGCGGACAACACCTCGTTTTTCTTGACAAACACGGTGACTTTGCCTCACACGCAGCAAACTCTGGGATCAGGAGTGTGAGTCTTTTTATAGCACTTGGTGTTCGAGCTTCATTATTTATATAGACGAAGATAGTATATGGAGTCGGGAGAAGCAAAAATTGGTCATTTCTAAGAAAATATTTTTTTGTCAGAAACAAAGCACTGATGTTTATCTTTTGGCGCGTCTCTCACTAGTAAAGCGTTTGAAGAATGTTTTTGTGCAATTTTTCTCAGAATTTGTTTACCAGACAGTTTAGATCTGTCCACTATTCCTCTGTTTCTGAGCTGCTGTTTCTATCACTCGAAAAGGGTACATGGTTTGCACCTATCGAGAAGGGAAATCTTTCACGAGAGAATCTGACATTCAACTGGACAAGGTTTGTATTACCATCTTAACTGCATCAATCAGATTATGTTCATGCCTTTGAGACTTGAACTGTCGACGTCTGTCCACTGTTGGCAGGAATCGAGCGGAGTTATGGCTTGCCTTTCTTACCCGGTTGCATCGTCTCTAGTATTCATTTATCCAACTTTGGAGCAGATTCTTGTCCAGGTATCAATTATTAAATACTTTGTTATCTGGAATAAACTGAAGTAGCAAAAGTATGTATGACACTTGCAGCGCGTGATACTGAAGCGCTCTGCATTTACTCACGCTCTATTCACTGGATCATCTGCAGATATGATATATTCAATGCCATTCTTCTACGACTCGCCTACAAACCTGATTTACTCAGCGTTCGTAATTACATTGTTGTGATATCATAGGTTGTATGTCTAAGCTTCAGGCGGTGGTCTACGCTACCCGATTTGTGGATAGAGAGCATGCCGAGTGAAATGTGCGCTCAAGCCGAGAAAGAGAAAGAAGAGCCTGAAACAGAGCTGCAGGATAGCGACCTGGTCACGGTACGTTCCTTTTTTTTATGAAAGTAGCTAAATAGCAGTGAGGTATACGAAAGTCATTTCAATACTTTACAGCTTTTTGAACGTTGTGAGCCTGTGGAACGTGTTGAAGTCTCTTGCCCGGATC